TGTTGTTTTAGCCGATAGATTTGATATGACACTAAAAGCTAGAATTCTCTTTGTTTGCCGTCGTTGTCTTTCTGCTGTCACAGATCCAAGATTTTTTTGTGCTTCGCTGTTCTATTTCTTTACACTGTCAGTTTTCTCAGCTTCAGCCTATAATTGCTTTTTTTGACTGGATCGACTTTCAATGGTCTTCGTTATTTTTATTTTGATTGCTTGCAAATTCTGTTCTATTTCCCTGCTGATATGCTTGCTGTTTCTTGTCAGTGTACAAGTGCTGCACTGGATATCTCAAAATGTACTTTTGGTTTGATTGTTGATAACCACATCTTGCTGCCAACTCATAGCCTTTAGCCTGCTGAGAGTTTATGGTCAAAGATCAAAATTTAGCTAATATTTTTCTTTACGCTAACTACATCTGTGTCGGTTCTTGCAGTGTTTTTGAAGCTACGCTCATCTTTATTTATCAGTATGTTACCTATCGCAATATTGCGAAGAATTAGTGTTCGTAGAGTGGAGCCGCTGCCTTGTGTTGAAAAATTCGTGTCGCACTATTTTCAGGGAATTGTAACTTCTTAGTTTCATGTCAGCTTGCATGACATCAATATATTCAAATCATATACATTCCAACGACACCTTACTCTCTATCAAGCTTTGGCAGATGAATATGGAAAAAGAGACTATCCAATGCCCGGTCTGAAGCACCGCTATAAAATTCTAATCTTGTGCAATAAGATCTGAAACAGTGAAAAATGAGTTTTCTAACCTCTGAAAGTTCGTGCTGATCAAGTTTTTCCAACAGAATTTACGACTTTGGAGAAAAAAATGCTAAAAAAGCAATTGTCACGTTTTCTGTTTTCTCGAAAATTAACGTCTTAAAAATCATAACTTATCAAAGAAGAGCCCGACCGGCATGATCTTATCTTTGTAGGGAGAGGAGGTTGAAAAACTTATGTTCATGACTATGTCAGATTTTATTGCGCAGTTTTGAGATTTTTGACTGCTCAAAACAACGAATTTAAGTAATCTTCTTTTTCCAATTTTATCTGTCTAACTAGAATTTAGGGTGTCTTTAGAAAGTATGCAGTACGCTCATCCTAATACTAATGACGTGCGACACTGTCGTGATCCTAATAAGTTAGGATTTTTTCAATGGTGCAACAGAACTTTCGATTCAATCCAGTATGGTCGCATTTTAGATCATATGCACTGCTTGTTCAGTCTATCTATACTTTATCTTCTTCATCCCACTCTCCTCTGCGCTTGCATACAGCCATTTCAACATGAGAAAGCCTTGTTATTTTCTGTTTTTGCACAAGCCAATTCGACTGGTCCCTTTTGCAACATTTGTTTGATGGAGGGATGGGCGCATGTCACAAGTCATGCAGCAGTGATAAAGGCACTTGCCAAGTTGAGCCGATGCACTTAGAGTTAAACACCAGGAGCCGTGCTGAATCATTTCTATTATCAAGGTCTTATTTTGCTAGATAAGGCATAATCCAGTACGAAGAGAAGTGCAAAAGAGTGCTAAATTGCTTAGTCAGTGTTGATGTCGTCTTGCTTCCTTGATGAACGTCTAGGAATTTCAAATCTAGTCATTGTTTTGTGTTCTCGTTTCTTCTATATTCTACCTCAAAATTTTTGATTATTCAGTTGCTTTGCTTTTTCTTGCTGTTTCATACAAACGTTGTTTGGTCGTAATACTTTTACGCGTTCATAGTTAATGGTTCAGACACCTTGAAAAAAAGGTCTGTTGATTTTCTACTCAAGCACACTCTGACTCAAGCTCTGAATTAGGGACCCCTCTCGCTTGTCCATATCTGTGGAGTTAGCCATTTGCTCTTTTTAGTTTTCCGCTCGCATCGCTGCAAAAATTTGGCATATTCAGCAGTTTTTTCACACGCCTAATCACTGGCGCATGCTTATCTCAAATTTGCTCAAGACCACTCGTAAAACCTTATGGGTGTCCACGTGCAGAGGACGTGAGTTGGTATGGGAATTCCCGGTAGGTTGGGTCTTTTATCATGCTGGGTTTGGAACGAAAAAACAGCACGCCTTTGTCATGCTCGGCGGATGGGGAAAGAGCACACTTTTTTGTTGCATGATCTCGATTTTTTGTGATCTCTTTATTATCATTCGCGCTTCAAGCACTTTTCTGCTGATTCCCAATTTCTTTCATACCATTCCATGCTTGCTCGGGATAATCAAAACCCTCAATAAGCTTATGACGCATTGAATTAATTTGACATAATCGCTCTAAGCTGATTGCATTTATATTTGCTTCATTATTAATTTTGATAAATGTCTTTTGAATGATATCTTGTGATTTGAAATTTGGATGTCTCACAAACCAAACAATCGTTACTTCTGTTTTGTACCTATTTTGCTTGGAAATGTATTTGTCCGATGATAGGTTCTGGTTTTTGTCCCTACGATTCTGATGCTCTTACCTTCATTGTTTTATCTTCTTGAGTATCTTATCCTGGTAATAATCTATTTCCATCGAATCTCTGTTGGTCACATGAGGAGGAATTTGTTTCCGAATTCTCTATAACTCAGATATATGGAGTAGCTTAGCCCTCACTGAAGATGGAAGTCAATTTCAACGACGTCCCAATGTCAGATCCATTCCTATCGTTGGAAACGAACCTTGAAGATATCACCGGTACGTACATACTTGGCGCATTTCAATGCCTTTACTCGTATTTTTTCCCCGATAAGAGGCTTTTCTCACTGTCAGCGGTACTGATATAAGTGACCCAAATACGGGAACTACCCCACTCATTTTGTATCGTACGGTAAACCGTACTAGCAGTGTAGTAGTCTGTAATGTACGGTAAGAGCGAGTGCAGTTATGGCTTGCAAGTT